GATTACACTTTAATAAGTCAACAGGGTAATGTCATGACTAGATTTCTGGTTAGATTTTAGACATTTATAAAAAGTAAGTGTTGTCCAACTGAGCATTACCTGGGAGTATATATAAAGAAAGCTAGCGGCTTTCTTTCTTCTGTCTGTATAAGCTATTCATTTGTTTTCTGTTTAATGAGTGCCTCCTATGTGTTAGGTGCAGTGATAGTCCCTGTACCGTCATTATCCTGTCCAAGAACTTATAGTTAGATAAGGGGAGCCAGAAACATGTAAGGAAATAAGTACAATGAACTATATTGTCAATACCTTATCAAAATGTATCATTTTTGATAAAGGGAGATACCACTTCTGTAGTTCTCAGAATTGACATATATAATCCTATAGTCTCTGGACTTTTAGATTAGTTTAGTTAAGCATTAAACAAAAATTAATGGCAGAATACTGATTCTTCTAAGGAAGCAATGGCTTACTTTGTAATGTGTATTAAAGATTTTATTTTTGTATGCATGCAGAACTGACGTACAGGCCAGCGGTGCAGGGGCAGTGAGAGGATTCACCAGAGACAGAGTGGGGAGCAGAACAGGCAGACTAAGGAAGTACACTGCTGAGGGGAGCAGTGGGTGGGTCAGAAGAGGTCTGCACCATGTGGGCCACCTCCAGGGCTGGGATCGAACTTGCACTGAAGCTGCCACTGCCAGCTTCTCAGTGCTGTGCCACCAGGGAGGGCTGTAATATATATTTTTAAATTTTGAGCCATCAGTTAATATTGAAGGGCTGTTATCTCTTAGGAACAGAAAATAAACACCAGCATTGATTTTGTGATCTAGTGAAATTTCAAACATGTCCTTAAAGGGAAAAGAAGTTTCTTATGAATTGAGGAGTGGACCTTATTGCATATACTAAATGCAAAATGATGTTTGCCCAGGTATAGACAGGGTGGAGGCAGTGGGAGTATGAAGAACAAGATAGTAAAATCTGACTCAGAGATACTCAAGCTCAGGATCTCCTGGGTGAGCCATGTGATCAGATGATGCTGTAGAACTAGGTAGAGCATTGGCAAAATGAAGAAATAACATCACTAGTTAAATGAAAATAAAGATTAAAATATTACTTTGGAGGTTTGTATATATGGAAAAGAGTATGTGTTTGTCATAGTAAACAGATAACAGACATATGCAGGAAAGTAATGTTTATTGGAGGACATGGTATTTCTGGAAACATTTCTGGGTTTTTAGCTAAGGGAATTCAAAGGCCCTGTTCTTAGAAATATTAACTCAGACTGGGGGTGACTTCCTGCTGGAGTTAAAAGAGAAAGGAGTATGTTGCCTAATAGCCCCCATTCCGTACACCAGGGGATGAGAGAAGTAAAAGTACCTGCCACTCGACAGTTATAGATGCTGTCTGGTTGATTGCTTAAGAGTTTCAACTTTTTAAGCCTGAACCCCAATCCTTATTTCTTAGATCCTTTCTTTTCTGTTTTTTATGACTACTCCCCTCGCTAGATTTAGATTCTTAATCTCTAGCATTAGCTTCTTCCTCTGTGCTTCTTCCTGGTAGCTTTTAAGTGTGTCAGGCCACCTCCATCCTCAGGAAGTCTTTTCAAGGTTATAGCACACTATTACCCCTGCTTCAACTTGTTCACATGCAACATTCTCAAATGAATTGTTGATCTCCACTACTTTCAATTTTCGTCTCCAGCTTCTTGATCCCTTTAAATTTTTGTTTCTGCCATTACCACTCTGTTGGACCTGCCTGGTCTACACTTGCCACATCTCTGGTCTTGGCTTTGGTGGTATCACTCTTCTTCTTTCAGTCTTCTTGAAAACTTCTTTGCCAGTGTCTCTTCTTACAATTTTTTAAGGATTTCTACTCACTGAGGATCAGTCCCTAACCCTCTTTTCTTCTTTCGCCCTCACATTTCTCCTCATTAGTTCATTTGTTAAACTCTCCTGCATAACTGGCACAGCTTGTTTTTCTGAGTCATTCTGTTAATAATTATGCAAACTCACCTGTACAACTTCTTGCTGCTCACACTTAATTTGGTTTTACATATGTGTATTTACATAATCTGGTTTCAATATTGTATACTTCAATTCTTTTTATTTGAGTGACCTCTTATTTCTGTGTCATTTATCCTTTTACCCCCTAGTATCTTTCAAAACTTTCCAATGCATGATACATGATAGGTATTCAGTAAATGTTATTATTAATAATTAATAAAAGTTCAGGCATAAAATTAAATTTTAGGGTACATTAAGTGACATCCAGTTTTTTTTTCCCACTGACTTTATTCCACTGATGTTAATATCCAGCATTTTTTAAGCATTACTGTTAGGTGTCATGATGAATACTTTGCTAATTTTCTTTTTCTTTTAACTCTCACAGCAGCTCTACAAAATACCTTTATGATCTCCATTTTAAAGGTCAGGAAATTGAAGTTTAAGAAGAATAAGAGATTTATTCAAGGCTTCTTTAAACAGATTTTTCTGTTTCCAAAGTTCATATAATTGCTGCTCTCTAAGAAAGTTACTTGATTTAAATTGTTTGCTTATGTTTTTGAAAGAATGCTGCACAGGAATACTGATACTTCAGTTAAAATCTCCATCCAGGAAGAAATGCCTAAAAGAGCCACTTGATTTATTTCTTGTCTTTATCTGTGTCCTCAGTTTGAAGTATCAATTTAAGAACCTGCATATCTCTAGCAGTGTATTCTGTTTTGACAAAAAATAGTCAGATTTTATAACTGATCCAATAAATTACTTGTGTCAGTTGTCCCAGATTTTACGAGATACTGCCGAACCATTCCTCTAGGGTATTCTCAGCACTGGAACTACCAAACAAGTTTATCCAATAAGTAATACCAGGAATTGGTTAGCTTCCTGGAAACAGAACTTGTCAGTCAACCCGATAAACCAGCTCTTATAATAGTATCATCTTATACAGAATTAGAAATTATTTCTCTCTTTCTGTGAATTTTATTTGAAAAGTGTGTGTGTGTGTGTGTGTTTGAGTCTGTCTGTGTGTACTTATATCCACCTTGGTTCATCCCTGAGTTGAGAGAACTGAAATTCTCAATTCTAAGGGTGGTTACCTTGATATTGAAAACTCCCCGTATACTGCTGTTAGAATCTCTCTGGATGCTAGTCACAATTGACCCCAGTAATTTTCTATATAATTTTTATTAATTTTATATTTGTCAATTTAGTATGTAAGTCTATATGCATTACATAATTAAGCCAGCTTTCCTTTCTTAGGAAGGCTATAGTTTTTAAGCCTTTGTTAGAAGGTTAAAAAACCTTGGTTGGGGCCTCCCTGGTGGTGTAGGGGTTAAAGTCTCAGCACTATCACGCTATCACCAGCCAATCCCATGTGACAATGATAACCAACAGAGATAACCAACCAGGTGCAGCAGACCTCTCCTGTCCCCCTTGCTGCTTCCCCTCAGCAGTGTATTTCAGTGGATCCATCTGTTCTGCTCCCCACTCTGTCTCTGGTGAGTCCTCTCATCCCCTGCACTTCTGGTCTACACCCTAGTTCTTGTATGCATAAATAAATAAAAACCACGGTTGAAGGTTAAAATAAAAACAAACAAAAAACCAAGAAAGTTCCCTTTTTTTAAGGAACCTTTCATATTGCTAGAAAATATGAAATAATTGATGGGATATGTGTGTGTTTTAATTTTGACAAGAACTATTTTCTGTGGACCCATTTCTCATTTGTTATCCCATGTAAATGAACTTTTGGTACTTACAACTATGTCAACCTTATATATATATTTTTGTATGTATTTTGAAGTGCATTTGTATCGGAAGCTACTCTTCTGGTGTCTTTCCTGCAAATTTTAAGTCTGGTCTTGTGTTTTTGAGCAGTAGAAACACCATCACCCTTCTTTCCTGTACCTCCTCAAGGCACAGTGAAAATTGAGCTTATTTGGTCAAGAGAGAGGGGAGAGACAAATTGTGCAGTTTTATTTTCCTTGCTTCATGCTGTTCTTTCCTTTCCCCAGTGTTTGAGGCTATTTCTAAGGGACAGTGATAAAGGGCTGAAGATAGCCATTTTGTGTGGGTGGAGTCTTTGTTCTTGAGGACTTACCTAAGTCCCCACGTGACTCACCTGTCACCAATGCAAGTGTAATAGTTCATCTCTAATGTTCCTATCTAGATCAATGCATTTACTTATTTTCAACTTCAGGTGCTATTTGAATGGACACAAATTTCTTAAAGAATCTGGGATAGCTTTATAAAACATGAACTAGGCCAGCATGGGTTCTGGGTTTTGGCTAGTTGTTTTCTGTGCATGAGAACGCTGTTACTGTATTCTGTGTTAGTATATATTATATGGCATGTTGTATGTACTTTATGCTGTTTCAGAAAAGATAATTGAAAGTAACATCCATAAGGCAGAAAGACTGCATTGCTTGGTCAGTTTGAGAAGAAAAACAAAAGAAGCCTGCCTTTGACTTCCCTTGAGAAAAGCTGCAGGCCTATAAACTTACAAAGAATTGGGAGAAGAGCATCAAAGACTAGGCTTGTAAGACAACTGTACAAAGTAGTTACCTGAGTTCCTTGCTTGCCTATATATGATGTTTTAAAAATAAGTTTGGAACTGATTCTGTCCCTTAATCAGTTCTCCATGAATTCATCTTCCACTACACTGTGCTGTGTTGTTCTTCACTCCAACTTTGCATCTATTTTTTCTGGTTCAGTTTCTCTGACTGGAAAAATTGTTCAAGCACCTCCTTTGCCCCCAGTGAGTTGGTAAATATTGCTGACAGAAATCTGGTTGGAGAGCTGTTATGAAACCATTAAAATTCAAAACACTGTAGTCTGACTTCAGCTATCTGCTTTCCAGAGACATCAAATGTGTGTGACTATAGTTATAGGACATGTCAGTTAACCTGGGCAGAACTCCCTGAGTACCAGTCCTATAATTTGTGAACATGCTTTGCTAGTCTGTTCTAAAATATCTTAGCCCCTGCACTCTCTTTCATTGCAGATGAACAGGAGGCATTGAACTCGATCATGAAGGATCTGGTGGCCCTCCAGATGAGCCGACGACCCCGAGTATCTGGGTATGAGACCATGAAGAACAAAGACACTGGTCACCCAAATAGGCAGGTATGTGTGGGCCTGACTGACTCAACTAAATATGTTGAGGAGAGGGTTTCAAATGGTGAATATTTGAGGGAGGAAAGGATTTCTCATTTCATAGTCTGTTAAATGGGGTAAGTGATATACACCAGCCAGGTGTGGATCGTAATCTGTAGTCCTAAAGCTATGCATATCTGCCCTTGCACATGTTTTATCCAGATTAGCGATCCCTAACTCAAAAAAAAGATTTTTAGTTCTTTACAGTATGTACTCAGGAAATATTAATTTTAGTATTAGCTTATGTAAAATAAATGGGGAAGGGAACTTTATTAAGATGTTACATGATTTAAAAGTAAGAATGAATGAATTTGTTATTTTTTTGTTGCCTCCTCTTAGTCACTGAGAGTACCTATTTGAGAGTGATTCTTTAGGAAAATGGTACTACTTTTGTTAACATTTAAACTTGTGCACAGTTAAGAATCTTACCTCCAGTTTCAGTTACATACCTGTTTTCTTGGGTACTGTGACCTGCACCGAGCAAATAATGGGGAACTTTCCTCACTAGTGGATATTTTTGCCATATTGGATGGCTGTGTTTGAAGAGAATTTGTTCATAATATTCCCTTACTATTCTCTTTGTTATCCGCTAGCCTCCTTTCTCTTATTTGCAGTACTGTAGTTCCTAGAGAAAGTGTAAAGCCCTAGAACATTTCTATCTGAGCTGTGCTAGATATAGCTTCCCAAAGTATTTCCTGCCTTTAGGAAAACTAGGAATCCTGAGTCCTTTTGTTTTATGTTATAACAGAAGAATTTGTTTAGAAAGCTACTTTTATTTTTGTGGTTACTTTGCAAAACTAGGAGAAAACAGAATAGGGCTCATTCTTGTACTATTTATATATATGATTCTAATTGTGTGGGTTCTCCCTTGATGTAACTCATTTGTATTCAGAGTTGCTTTGGGAAGGAGCATTTTACCAGAAGTGAGTCCCCTCCCCCAGAAGCAGGCCTAATGACCTCACTTTCCTTCCTGTCTTCCTATGTGCAGTGTGCTTGCTAATGCTGCTCTAGTCAGCTGATCTCTCTCCTGATGGGACTGTTAGCACGGATGCCAGCTGATGGGTGAAAGGGGGATCCTTTCTTGAGTTACAAGGCCCAAAGGAACTAGGGGTAGAAATAGGAGGGGTGCAGTAGTCTTTGATCATTCCTCGGGGGAGAGGGGCATACCTCATAGGAATCCTTTCTTAGCACCTGAAAGCTGTTATAAGAAAAACTGTATTGGTGGAATGAAGTTAATAGTTATCAAGGTAGAAGACTGAGAAAGTTGACTTCTGGTGGGGGAATAATCTTTTTGGACCCAACTTTAGTTAATTATCATTAGACTTTTTGTATTGCATGGAGGATACAAATTATTAACCTCAGTTTTTTGTTTTTAAAGAAAAAACACAACAGCAGCAGCCCAGCCCTTCTGAACAACCCCACAGTAACAAGCTCATGTGCAAGGGCCAGTGAGAAAAAGAAATATTTGGTAAGGAACCAAATTACCTGTTAAAGCTAAAATGTGCTTTTAAACCTGATGCTAGTACTGGAAACTGTGGCGTTCATTTCCTAGATTGGTCACATTAATGGCTTATAGGGAGTACTGATCATTCATTACCTGTGTACTGTGCTCTAGTTACAATTTCTCACAGCAGTATTATTCATAAATAGCCTTTCTTAGTGCCATTCAGTAAACTGTGATGATAGAAGTAGTCTGTTGGTGCTGTTCAGTGTGGTGGCCACTAGCCAGAGGTGGCTACTGGTAACTGAATTGTAAATTTTATTTCATTCTAATTAATTTTAATTTAAATAGCCACGTGTAGTTTACAGTTATTGTATAAAACAACATACTTTTGTATTCTACTTAAAGGGGTGTTGATTTGTTAGGCAAGACACTAATACCATGGCTGGAGATGTTTAACAATTCATTGGTATATTTGTTCCTCCTCACAGGTCATGAGTTTCAGCACATTATGATTAGAGAATCCGATCTAAGATTCTGTTCTTGTCTATGGAGATCTGGGGAGAATGTGGAACTAGTATGGCTGTTTAGTCAGCGAAGCTGAAAGTTTTATGTTAATATTATGTAAAAGAGCAATGGAAATGTCAAGATAGCTCTCTCTTGATAAAGTCAATATTAGAATAGTCTCTCCTGGGAAATCTAACAGATGTTCAGCTTCAGGCCAGCAAAATATTCTTTAGCAAAATCCTAAAAGCATAAGTGGGAGAAAGTTGTGGTAATTGCATTTCCAGGAAGGATGGGTTAGGATGAGGGGTTAGCATGGCAGGAGTTCAGCTTGGGTCTGCAGATGTTAATATAATAATTTACAATTTACCAAGTAAATTTTGTTTAAGTGGGTTTAGGATAGGATTAATTAATTTTCTCTGTTATTATCTGCCACCAGAATATCCATGCTTAGGAGGGAGGAATAAAAGATCAAAACCTAATTTGAATGGGTAATAGATACCAAATTGGGCTAAGAAATGTCAAATTGCAGAGTCCTAGTTGAAAGTAATCAAGTATTTTGGCCTGGAGGAAAGATTGTTTATTCAGGGGTGGGACAGTCCTGCTAAAGCTTCAGTGTAATAGTGGTAATGCTGGCTGCAAGATGGAGCTGAGATTGGCACAGCATCATGGGGCTCTAGCTTGGCACAGCCAAGAAAGCCAGAGAGCTATGGGTTCATAGAATTGTTTGGGGGCTGAGGCCTGGATAAACTGGAAAATTTAATATTCTGCTTGGCAAGTCTTCCGACATCCTCTTCCCTAAGTAAACAAGCTAGGTGACTAATTAAAAAGAGAATGCTTTTGAGAACAGCTATGGAAGTACATGAGCACTGAGGTGCTCTGTTGTGAGCGAGGCGGTAAGATCTGTGTTCTCTGTATTCTCTCTCCTGTACATAGGTCCCTGGAAGCCTATAACATGTTTGAAGCTGTTTTAGATATAAGGTACTGTGTACATGTGACTAGGGAGAATGGATAATTTTGCTATCCATTGCTAGTTCTCTGTGGGATTTACAGCTTAGTGTAGTGAAAAGATCACTGTCTAGAAGTCAACTGACACTTTTATAATTCATTAATATGGAATTTTACACTTTACAGAGTGCTTTCAACAACAGTGAACAATTGCTATCAGCTGTGTTTACTTTAAAGCTTACAAAATGTTTCATAAAAGTATTGATTATAGTCCACAAGTAAATCTAGATCTTCTGACTCCTGGTAACAATTTTGCCATGTGTATGCCTAACAACTTTTCTTTTTAAAAGATTTATTTTATTATTTATGCACACAGGCCTGGGGTACAGGCCAGAGGTGTAGGGGCGGTGAGAGGATTCACCAGAGACAGAGTAGGAAGCAGGACAGGCAGGTCAACGAAATCCACTGCTGAGGGGAGCAGTGGATGAGACAGGAGAGGTCTGCTGCGACGTGTGGATCTCCTCTAGGGCCAGGGATCTAACTTGCACTGAAGTGACTGCGGCTATCTTGCAGTGCTGAGCTTTTTAACCTGTTGCACCACCAGGGAGGGCCAAACAACTTTTCTAAGACTCAGTTGTGCCATCTTAAATTCAGAGATGACAGACATACACTCTGCCTCTTAAAGTTGAAAAAAAAAAACCAAACTGTACTAATTTAAAGCAGTGGTGATTATATCACTTCTCTTATGTTCTGGCATTGTGTATATTTGAACTCTAGTAAAAACTTCTAATTAGAACTACGCATACTGTCGTGCAACTGAAAGGAGTAAGGTGTTCTACCTTCCTGATATTGTTATTACTGTCAATCTGATGGTCTTTTGCCAAATGTTGAAGTTAGCCTAATTAATGAAAATTCCAGTGCAGGAAGAAATAGAATCTTCGTTTACATAAATTTCTGTTTCCCATGAATCTTGTCAAAACGGTCGGTAGAGACTTGAACAGACCTAGAGTCTGGGTCTGATGCTCTAGATGTGCACCAGAGGAAAAATTGCTTTCTTAGTGTGAGGCCAGGACAGGGAAGAGCTCATAACTCTTAGGCCTAGTAGAGGAAGATTCAAGGAGGTATTCTTCCTGCAGGGTCCTGTTGGAGTAAATTGCCTTTTACTTAGACTGTGATAGACCTGCCTCTTCAGGACTTCCTTTCTCATTCAGAAATGGTTGAAAAGATAGGCTGGTTGGTTTGAAACATAAAACAACCACATGCCTGGTACACTGTTTTGTAAGAAGGTAGCTTCATCACCATCTCTTTCACTGATCTCTTAGGGATTTCCCAAGTCATACACAATTATTTTCTTTTTTCATTTATTTACTATTTTTGGCAAAATAAGAACTCTAGAGGCAAAGATGTGGGAGCCATCAAAGGAATATAACAAATACAGGGAGAAAGGAGACTTCAGAATCAGAGGACACCAGAGACAAAACTTTAAGATCTACTTTGATTATTTTTTAGTTCTTGGGAGCCCTCTTGAGTTATATACTTATCACTTGTTAGTCTGGACTTTGAGAAGGTCCTTTCTGTTTAAATAAGGTGTGATCACTGGGTACTCCCAAGGTCCCTACTGAATTACCAAATCCAGGTTGTCAAACCTGGAGGCCTGTACTGCCCCTCTCCTGAGCATGGCTCTCACTTCTTTTAGTAGGGTGCCGTGGTGGGCTGAGGGCTTTTGCTGGCCAGACCTGAGTCTTTATACTGCAGCTTTATTCTCAGCAGGTGTGGTATCGCTCCATTTACAGATCTAAGTTTTTAAGACATGTAAAAGAAATACATTATATCCCTGTGCCCTAGGAGTCATTCAGTCTTACTGGAAATGAGAGATAGATGACAAACAGAAACTAAGGTAGGAAGCAGCTATCCATCAGTTTATGGTACAGAATAGTGCTGTAGGAGGCCAGGAAAATGAAGGGGGACTTGACTTAAAAAAATTATGGAGTCATTTCTGGAGGGAGATGGCTCTTAAAGTAGGCTGTGGATAATAGTAAAAGGTCAGACATGTGAGAAGAAGATAGGGTAGCACTTTAGGCCAAGAAAGTGAATCTTCGAAAGCCTAGGGGAAATGGTGAAATAGCCTATTTCAGGAAACAGCCTCAGTTGATTTGCCTGGAGAGGAGGGTTCCTGTTGAGAACAGTGTGAAATGGTTAGGCAAAATGATTGATAGCTGAGAACTTAGATTTCATTCCACCGGTTATGGGCATCACCGATTACCTTCTGAACAAAAAAGGGGGATGGTGAAAGTGGTCGTTACAGTAAGTGGAACTGTAGAAGGATGTAGAATGTACTGAGGGGAAGGGAGCCTGAGAAGCAGAGGCTGCTCCTAGGACCCTAGGAGTAAAGAGATAGGGGCTCAGCCAGAGTGCTGATGGGCAAACAGTAAGCAGAGTCTTAGGCTGAAGGCATTTGAAGGGAGAATTGGAACTTGTCTGGCTGTCAGGAGGGGAAAGGGAAGAAAGAACCGAGCAGGACCCAGAGGTTTGAACTTGTGTGGCCTTGAGAGTGGCACCAACATCAGAAATCGCAGTACTGAAAAGGAACACTACTTTAAGAGGCATATATGCTTGACGTAAGCACATACGCTACACTGACAAGACGGTTACCTTGAAAAAGATTGTGTGTATATGTATGAGTGTATATGAGAGCTATTTTTGTAGGTTCATGTCTCTTATCTACAATTCCAAAATCAAAGAATATTGTAAAAGGAAAGGCTTTTAGTTGTTTTTGTAAGTTTGCAGCAAACTCATTTGCTGCACTGACACAGGACTATTTATAATCTTTTTTTATTCCTCTTATTGTGAATATTCATACTTTTAATGCAAAAAAAAATAGCTTAATCCAAATCTTAGTGACTTAACACATGACTTCCAGTATAGGGAAAGAGGAAGACAGTGTTTCTCACAGCCACTTTAGGGAGCCTTATTGAAGGTGGCTCTACTGACTTGGAAATTGTGGCTGCCAAGGAAGTGTAGATAGAGAACTTAATTCTCTTCCCAGCTCTTGGTCAGAACTAGTCCCAAAGCCTCTAGACTAACTCAGAGAGGCTAAGCAATGCAAAGGAGCACGTGAATGAATGCCTGTGAGCCCTCTGCTCTGACCACAGACCTGCCTTGGGGTGGCACCATGTAATTCAGAACGTATGTTAGTGCCTCTCTAAATCCAGAAGTGCATCTGTAGACACTTTGGCCCCAAAGGCTTTAGCTAAAGGATAATGGATCTGTATTATCATTTACTGAGCACTTAATGTGTCAAGTCCCACTTTCATATCATTTAATTTACAGTTATTTCATTTAGTTCTTTTGATAACTCCATGAGATATATCCTATCACTATTCTCACTTTACAGCTGCAGAAACTGAGTCATGGAGAGGTTAAATAACAAGGGCAAGGGCACCAAGCTAGGTGGTTGGCGAGCCAGGATTTGAAACTAGACTCAATTTGACTATTAGTTTTTAAAAAATAATGTAGTTTATTTTTATATCATTTTGTGCATTTTTCCATCTTGTAATTCCCGTGGGCTTCCCATCACCAAATCATCCATGTGCCATCACCATAGCCCAGTGCATTTCTCTAATGCTACATTTTTTAATAAATATGTATCTGCCTCAAAGACATGACAAATGGATGACATTTTGATTGAGAAATTGGAGCTGGACATAGAGATATGAGAGTCTTTTACTTGGAGGTTGGCTGAACTTTTATTCCTACTTAGGAGATAGGAGGAAAGGGAGGGGGACATCCAGAGGCTGAAGTACACACATGTCAGGGGAGGGCTGGAGAAGACATGAAGAAAGGAACCAGTAAAAAACCAGGAGTGGTTCATTGGTGGCAGGTCGCCTTGCCTGGAACAGAGCCCCAGAAGGCGGGGAGGAGAGTATCTCATGAAATCTAACTTGGCCTCTAGTGTGGAATGCCTCAGAGGGCAAGGAGGATGGTTAGCAGAATGCATTGAATTAAATTATCTTAATGTGAACTTTCTTTACCCTAGGTTACACTCGTCAGCCTGGGGAAACTCATAGGAAACTCAGATTTAGGAACCCGGCAGATACAGATACACCATGTGGTACATGGAAGCCAGTTGTGGGCCTGCATCCTGTAAGGATGTCACTATGTCGGGGGAGGGATGCCAAGTGCCGCCATCCGTGTCACACATCTCCTAGTCACAGGCTTGGTTAGTCTGATGTAGGAATGATCTCTGTGGTTTTAGGCAAAAATTAATTCCTTTTCTGAATAAACTCACATCGAATTGTGCTCAGATTATTGCCCTTTGTGAAATAAGTGTAGTCCCTTCAGTCCCACAAAAGGTCTTTATAATGTCCCAGTTTAAGAGTGAGAGCTCTCATGTGTTTTTTTGGCTATGTGGTTTTACTTTTTTTTTTCATATGCCTGTTGGCTATCTGCATTTCCTTTTTGGAGAAGTGTCTTTTTAGCTCTTCTCCCCATTTTTTAAAAATGATTTATTTATTTGTGCATACAGAACTGGGGTACAGGCCAGAGGGGCGGGGGCAGTGAGAGGATTCACCAGAGAGAGAGTGGGGAGCAGAACAGGCAGATCAATGAGGTACACTGCTCAGGGGAGCAGCGGGCGGGTCAGGAGAGGTCTGCCACGCCATGTGGTCACCTCTGGGGCAGGCGAATCGAACTCATGCTGAAGTGCCTTTTGCTTCTTAGTGCTGCGCTTTAACCCTCTGTGCCACCAGGGAGGGCCTGGTTTTACTTTTTATACTATAACAGGTTAGATAAAAACCAATAGAAGCTTTAATAAAAACTCTAAGAGAACCTGAATAAATTGTGGACTTTACTTAATATATCAATATTGATTAATCATTATTACAAAAACAAATGTACCTGTGTGATGTTACTAGTAGGGAAAAGTGCTGTGGGAAAAAAGGGTGTATTAGCACTCCATCTGCTTAGTTTTTCTATGAATTTGAAACTATTCATAAGGAATAATGAGAGTTATGCTAAGGTGTGCTGGTGTTTTAACAAGAGGAGGTAAAAGAAAGTGGTCTCCCATCTGCAGGGACAGACAGGACTGCAAGCTGTGGTGAGCTCTTGGGCTGCTCCAAAGCCATCTGTGCAGCTAGGGCATTTAGGAAGTGGCATTGGCATGTCAGCATCTTTAGGGCACCATGCTTTGAAGGGCCCTTGACATGGTAACTACTTAGCATTTTAGGACAGGAAAAAAAGAAGACAGGAAAAAACTGCTGTCACTCATATAAACCTGAATCTACATGATAACTTCCTCTGAGGCATTGTCTCATGTGTCTCCTTACACACACTCCCTCCTAAAGTACAGAGCAGATGAGACGCACTGCCTTCCTGTTCTGTCTTCTTCACCATCCCTATCCACCCACAGCTTCCTGGTCCCCCAGCTTGCTCCATGGTTTCTCCTTAGTCTCCTAGTTCTGGCTCCATTATTAATCCAGATACTGAGTTGTCCATCTCCTCCATGAGTTCCAAAAAGTAAGATCGTAGAAGATCCTTTTGTAGTTTACTTCTTTCAGTGCTCCGATTGCAGCCACTGTTAGTAAAATAAACCTTTGCCTGTGTTTGAGTTGTAGCATAGCATGATAGTTAAGAGCTGGCTTTCCCCCCCTCAGATCCCAGCTCTCTTTTTATAAGTATGGTGGCCTTAAGGGAATTTATTTAATTTCATTGTAACTCAGCTTCTTCTGTAAGATAGGAATTATATCTATGATGATGGTGGGCTTGATACATGTAACAGGCTTAGGACAAAACTTAACACTTTGTAAATGTTCAGTAGATGTTAATATTGATTTTAAGGGTGAGATAATGCTCTGGGGCTGTACTTTGGAGTTTTTATATCACAAGCCTTTTCTTCCTGGGACCATCTGTCCACTATTTAGTGAGTAAACTTTTCAGGGTCACTAGGCTCTTTAAGCCCCAGTTTACTTGTCTTTAGAATAATGGGCTAAAGGACGATAATCTTATTTTAATGCAGTGACTTTTTAAGGTGGAGTCTAGGTCCCCTATAGGTTCCCAAGATCCTTTCTGGGGGTCTAAGTCAAAACTTTTTTTTTTGAAAGATTTATTTATTTATGCATACAGAAATATCATGCTATCTGGGCTATAGACCAGAGGTGCAGAGGCAGTGAGAGGCTTCACCAGAGACAGAGTGGGGAGCAGAACAGGCAGATCAATGAAATATACTGCTGAGGGGAGCAGCAGGCAGGTCAGGAGAGGTCTGCGCCATGTTGGTCACCTCTGGGTGGGGGATCGAACTTGCACTGAAGTGGCTACGGCTAGCTTGCAGTGCTGCATCCTAACCCATTGCACCATGAGGGAGGGCCTTCTGTGTTAATTTCTGTATGGCAAATAATAATAGATATCGTATACATAAGTAAAAGTTCCTTAGAGTATAACTTAGAAACACTGCTCTATCAGTATTCAGTTGATTATAAGAGAATTCTAAACCCACATCTCTTGGGAAGAAGTCCTTATATATACTACCTTTCAAACTACCCTTTTTGCCATCTTCTCTACTCTGTAGTCTTTGTCTTCTGATTTTCTGGAAATCCTCCTCTTTCTTCCATAATACAATACATTACCTTGTTTTTCTCACTATAATTTCCATTCATTGACTGAATTCTTTCTCTCCACCTCTGCTATGTTGGTTTCCTGACAATCTTAACCTTTCTGTTTCTTCTATATTTGTTTTTCTGTAGTATCTTTCCTCTCTTACTGTCATTTTAAACTCTTCTTTTGATGAAAGTTGTTTGTTTACCCCTTATAATATTTTGTCATCCTTATTCTTTAACATTTGAACACTTAGATTTCCTCATTTCTTTTTACAGTCAACTCTGTTCTTCAGTTCCTTAATCCATTTAACAAATATTATTAACCATTCCCTTTGCTTGTCACTGGGAGTACAGAAACAAGACAAACATGAGTGCCATCCTTCTGGAGCTTATAGGTCACCCACACTGGTCATGAGGATAACACTGGGATGGCTTTATGGTAATTTGTCCTGAGTCTCACTTTTTTTCCAGTGGCAGTAATCTTAAGAGGATCATCCACATCAATAGTAGTGACAAAAATAATTTATTGAATGTCTCATAGCAGCTCTGCAAACTTAGGTTTGCTTAGCCCCACTCTACAGATGGAAAAACTAAGACTCACACAGGATAAGTAACTCCCCTATTGTCTTGTAACGAGGAAGTGTCACTTCCAAGATTTCCTTTTCTGTTCAGGCACATCAGCCAATAAGAAAGGTGTGCAGTGATAATATGGTGGGAGAAACTCTGAAACCAGTTGTGAAAATAGAGTGTATGAACTTAGACATGCTGAAGAACTGAGCTGGGACAGTCACCTCGGGTCCGTGCCTCTTAGGCTGGAATTGGAAGGCTACAGCTCATTGACAAGGCATGTCTGTTGGGGTGGAGAAGCTGGAACACGTGCCATTAGGGACATTTGCCTGATGTTGTTGAAGGACTGCCCAAAGCTTACCTGATGTGTTACCTGGGAATAGTAGGATACTACATGCCAGAGGACCTCTAACCTGTCTCTTTCTTTTGGCAGAGTGACGTAAGAATCAAGTTTGAACACAGCGGGGAGAGACGGTAAGTCAGTCTTTTCACCAGTGGTTGTGTTTACGTGTATTGCAGTTCTCAGAAAGCATCAAGCCAGTTTTCCCTGGAGTGATCCTGTGGGGTCAAAACCTGGGAAATGGGGTTGATTTGGCAAGGGGAGGGGTGTATCTTTTAGTGGTTTTGTTTGTTTATAGGATGTCATGGTAGAAGTTTTTTCTCAGTGGAGAAAAATATGACTCCACTTACACTTAATATTTCAATTTATTTAGGCAGAAACCTTGCAAAAGCATACGGAACTCTGGTTATGGGATACTTGGGTCACGTATGTGCTTAGCATGCCTCTCAGTGCCTATTTCCCATTCTCTCTTACTGATGTCTGCCCTCCTACACCTTCCTTTTCCTTTGCTTGTGCATTGGAGAAGCAGGCAACATATCCATGAGGAAATGTCCTTTTACTGTTTGAATCCGCCTGCATGACATTAGTTCCTTTCCAGGACTTTTAGGACTGGTAGTTCTTTTCAGCTGGCATCCTTCAGTCGCTTTGAAGCTAGTTCCAGAGGAGATCTGTGGTGCTGCCTCCTCTTAAAATACATTCACAAGCCTACAAGCTTGTTAGAGGCTGCCTGACACAAACATTATACAAAGTGTGGTCTTTAGAGCTGGGCCCGCTGCCGCCATGTGGATTCTAGGGCTGTTCTGGGCTTGGAGAGAGGAAGGGCTTCTGAGCTCTGTCCCTAGTGGTTTGTCTTCTGCCCTGCCAGTAGCAAGGAAGTTAAATTGTCACTTCATTGTTGCTGCTTTTCACACTTCTGACCTGACTGGGTTTTGGAGGGATGGCCAAACTCAGAGCAGCAGACAGTTTTCAGAAGCACACATGAAATCAAAAGCTCAATTGTGTTGGAGCCTAATTATGCAGTTACGCTCTCCTGAATTCCTGTTTCTAAAGCAGTATGTAGTTACAGTGACTGGACTTACACTGAGAAAGAGTATGTGATTCGTTTCAGAGGAGCTGCCAGATGGAAACCACAAATATTTAAGGTGGTCAGGCAGGAACGGCCTTTTGAAACCTCGAGCAGCAGAAAACCGGTATCAAGGTTTTAAAAGTTGTGCATTCTCTTATTATGGAGCTGTTTTCAGGATTCATGGCATTTCACTGTCTATGTGCTATGTGTGGAATTGAGGACTTTATGAAGTTGATGTGGGGAAGCCAAGTTCAGGCTGCTCTATGCCAGATAGCTCTGGTTTCATGTGTTTTGTGTCTTAGGATTTTGTAGTGAATGTTCTTGTAGGCTTTCTTTACTTTTTAATGGGGAATATGGACAGTCTATGTGAGTGTTCTAGGCCCTTGTAGAATTAAAATTTATGGAAAAGAGGAAAGAAAGTGATTTTTTCCAACTCACCTATCCCAGGAATCCAATCTGGTGAGCTAGACTTTTCCTCTGCTTTGCAAGATTGGGGCCAGACTCTGTTTCTCTGTTTTCTTAGCCCCAGGAAGTCAGAAGAGGAGGACTGTAGATTAGAATCTCCTTCCCTTTGAAAAACTTCACTTCTGGACACTGATGGGGATGTTGATCATGGGTGGTAGACCCTTCTTTGATGCACTGGCCTAAAATGCCTCTTATTTAATGTGATGGCAGCAGCTTGAATCTTACCAAATCCGTAAGCCCGGTTTCTGATCTTGATCAGACTTTTGGACTGCTTTGGAGGGCAGGGACAATGTGAGAGAACTACGCGCGTTTGCCTGTGAGCATGGAGAAGGGGCAGCTGTGGACACACTCGTGGCTGGCTCAGACTGCGTCCAGCCTGGGCACGCGGAGAGCTGAAGGTGGTTCATTTCCCCGCTGCGTTGGGCGTGTTTTTTGCATTTCTTAGCCATTCATAGCTCTTTTGTTAATTGTCTCCTCGTATCCTTTGCTTGTTTCTTTGTTGTTTTTTTTTCTTTCTTACTGATTTTTGCAAGTGTTATCTCAAAGTTAATATATATAGTTTAAATTTCATAAATGATTTATTTTCCCATCAAAGCTTAAATTTTTATTGTCAAATCTGTCTTCTTCCATTGTCTTTTGTATTTTGTGTCATACTTGCAAGAATTTCCCTGCTCCAGTATTTATTAGTCCTATATATTCTTTTGTATATATGTAGAATATATATGAGTTTCTGTGTGATATGCCTTTTGTTTTGTTTTTCTCTTATTTTTAATTATTTACATTTCAGTGCATTGGGTTGGATCCTCAGAAAATTACCACTTTTGTGCAAAACTTGTTCACTGTGAATAGTATCTTACAGTTCAACCTAATAATTCATTGAAACTTTTTATTATGAGACATTCAAACACAAAAAGTAGAGAGTCTATCATATTGAGTCCCCATCGATCTGTCATCTTTTCGCCAGTATTATTTCACCTATACTGATTTTTAAATTTTGTTGGGGTACTTTATGACAAATCATTTTCATACCTCTTTGGACAAATTCTTACTCTATACTTTATTTATAGAAATTGACCTGATGAGTCTGGAAAAGCATTAATATCAACAAAACTTACATAGCTACATGTCATTGGTTAAGAGCACTGATGAGAGGTATATACTAGCTAGAAGGGGAATTCCTGTTACTCTGGTAGAAATCTCAGCTCTAAGGGTGATCAGTATTGAGATTCCTGTGGCATCTCAAAAATGAACAATGCAATAGATCACACATGCCCTGAGGTCGAGTTATTTGGGAGAAAAGACCAGGTTTTCAGGACTGTTGCTTCATTCTCTAGGTTAACTTCATAGTGGGAATATTTGGAACAAAGTTTTAAATGCAGGTGGCCTGCTGTGATATTGTCATTGACAGTATCTTTTACCACTGAAGTGGTAAAGTTGGGTTGGGATTGAGCAGTGCTTGTGGGTACTTTTGGCAGACCTCAGAGATGCTCAGATAATGAGTGAAAAGATGAAGGTAGAAAAGAGAAGAACAAGAAACAACAGAGGGAAAGGCAAATTGTGTGAAAGAGAAAAAGGGAATCTTACATTGAAAAGGAAAAATTACGTCAGAAACCATAGCTTTCTAAATCTCTCATTTAAAATAAACAACGGTGCTTCCTGTTACTTTTCAGAATTATAGCATTCAGCCGGCCTGTGAGGTATGAAGATGTGGAGCACAAGGTGACAGCAGTATTTGGGCAGCCTCTTGACCTACATTACATGAACAATGAGGTAAGAAAGTCCACGGTCGGTACAGGAGATGACTGCCTCCTTTTCCCCTCCCCACTTAACTGAGCATTTTCTAGTTTGTTCTCCAACATAATCTTCAGGTTTTCATTTTCTGGATTTCATCTTTTTTTTTTCCAATTGAGGTAACATAAGTTTATAAAGTTTCTCTTTAAAAAAATTGGGGTGTGGGGCCCTGCCTGGTCTGCAGAGGGTTAAAGGGCAGCACTGTGAAGCTATTGGCAGCCACTGCAACATGAGTTCAATCCCTGGCAGGGAGCTGACCCACATGGCGCAGCAGACATCTCCTGTCTCCCTGCTGCTCCCCTCAGCAGTGTACTTCATCGATCTGCCTGTTCTGCTTCCCACTCTGTCTCTGGTGAATCTTCTCACCCTCTTTACTGCTGGCCAGTACCCCAGTTTTGTATGCATAAATAAATACATCTTTTTAAAAAAACTGAGTATGGAGCCACTTCATTTTGGTAGCTGGGGTTTCTGTTTTCTACTTCATAGGAGAGCACATGTTTATTTCCATTTTTCCCTGCTCATTAAGTGTGGGTAGCTCTAAGACTCCACAGTGGGATTGGATATGATGTCAGGACCAGGGCTTCTGTGGTCTCCTTTACATTTTCTGGGTTATCTCTTTTCAGCATAGTCTTTATAACAAGCAGAGGTTTCAGTAGGAGCTGGGGGCGGAGGTGTGGGGCGCCGGGGTTGTATGAAAAGCTGGGAGGTAGATCCTCTGTTGATAGTCATAAGTGTTGGATTCTCTTCTCAGCTTAAGTCCTGATTTTAACTTGTCTGAAAATTTTACTGATTTCTTCAACTCTACTCCTCTTACCTTCTGTCCCATCAAGTTCTTTTCTATTCCTGTTTTAAATACCACCTAGGAAGGAATGTGGAATGTCCGTTACATGACTGTCTTTCCAGCTTCAGGAATGATCATAGAGGCTACCGTCTGCTTAGGCTGGTGTTTCCCAGTAGTCTGAATGAAATGTGTTTGTACCTAATAAAGCGTGTGAATCCTGAGGAAATTGATTTAAGGAGCAAGATAAGAAAGCTGAACAGCCACATAGTTCTTCAAGAGCTACGTCCTCATTGTAACTGTTTATGTATGCTCTCTCTCTCTCTGGATTTGCTGTTCTGGATATTACATAATAAATGGAATCTTATAGTATGTGATTTTTTGTGTGTGTATGCCTTCTTTCACTAAGCATAATAGTTTTCAGGGGTAATCCATGTTGTAGCATATACCAATGCTTTTTTAAAAAAATTATTTATGCGTACAAGAATTAGGGTGTAGGCTAGAGGTGTGGAGGGTGAGAGGATTCACTAGAGACAGAGTGGGAGCAGAACGGGTGGATCTACTGAAATACACTGCTGGTGGGAGGCAGCGGGCAGGTCAGGAGACTCATGCTGCAGTGGCAATAGCTTGATAGAACTGAGACTTTGATTAACTCTTATGCGACCAGGGATGCCGTGATGGAATTATTTTTAAATTGAATCATGGAAATGGATTCATAGCTCTAATTTTACTAAAATTATACACAATTATTGAATTGTACACTTATAGAAAAAGAAAATTTGTCTTTAGTTTCAATTCAGTCTCTTAACTATTGCTTATCTATACAAAATAAAATATCAAGTTAGAGTTTTACTTTAGATGATTTCTGTTTTTTTTTCTGTGTCTTAGCTCTCCATCCTGCTGAAAAACCAAGATGATCTTGATAAAGCAATTGATATTTTGGATAGAAGCTCAACCATGAAAAGCCTTAGGATATTGCTGCTATCCCAAGACAGAAATCATGTAAGTTACCCTTGTCATACCTGGCAGCTGAGGACAGAGCTCAGTATCCTTTAGCTCATGTTGCTTCCTTGACAGCATTTTCCTTTTCCCAGCCACTGGTAAGGCAAGAGCAAACGAAAGTGCCACCCAACCCACTGTGTCAGTGGAACCTTGTCCATTTGATTTAACTGAGAAACCACACTGACAGTGTTAAAGTTGCAAAAAGGTTACTTGGCTTGTGCTGTGGGAGGAAGGCAAACATTTAACGATAACAGAAAATCCTTTTGTATTTTGGTTCTTTTGATTAGATTTGGATCGCAGCAAGAGATTTGGTTAGTGTGGGGGTGTTGATGAGCATAGACTGTAAGGGATTTGAGAGCATTGTACCTTGAAGATACAGCTCCCACAACTCCTCAGCTACCGTTCCTCTCCTTGGGACATGTAGGACAGACTTCCTTCTGTTCAACAGGAAAAAGGCCATAGACTGGAGGACCTCTTGTGACTTGCCAGCTCTGCCTGCCAAATGCCAGGCAGTCTATGTGCGCTGTCATCCTCCCCCATGCAGTGTCCCTCCTGAGAGCCCCCTGGGGCTCCGCGTCATAAGGGCGCGTATAATCTGGCTCCCTCTTTTAGTCACCGGCTCCCTGTCAGCAACTTTCTTCAAAAGCATGTTCTTAGGTCCTTGGCATTCTTTCCTTATGCCTGAGGACAGATGACTGGATGGCTGACATTGCTGCCTGAGAGCTGTGGGTATGCTGTACCTTGGTTTAGATGGCGTGATGCTCATGCTGACCATTTATTTTCTGAAGAGACTTAAGGGTTGGGGCTGATTGATTACAGGGAAGCACAGGAAAATGCAGTTAGGAGCCTCAGAATAAGGGAGACATTTTTTAGTATTAGAGAAATATCCCTCTGTATGAGGATTGTTCTTCTCTGTCCCCAAAAGATGTGTCTTTTTCTGGGCAGTTTTGGGGAACTATTCTGAAATAAAATATAGGCATTTATTATTGAATGTCTCTGTTTAAGTTACTTACCTGCTCCTTTCAGTTCTTACTGACTGTCACATAAGATTCAAATTTAGCTTAGCATCTGGAGTTTATTGCCAGCTACCTCTGTTTTCACCTTGCAGTCTCATCTTTCCACATTTTCAGCACGCTATGTGCTCCACCATTCCTTCTTCCTCTTTGCCAGACTGTGACTGTCAGCTCTTTTTGAAAAGGATCCAACTTGATTTACCTGCTACCATTGGTCAGCATTTTTGATTCAGGCCATTTTCATTATTCTCTGTTCGATTATTCATTGGTTATAATTTACACTTTCATGTAAAAGTTGCTGAGTAATTGCTACATAGTCATTGAATTTTTGTAAGCTTTTTCCCAAAAGATTATAAGCACTTTGAGAGCAGAAACTGCCTAATTGTTTTAGGACCCCTTCCTTTCCAGTCCTCTTAAGAAAACACAGTGAATGCTTCTTGAATTATTAAAGGTTAAGCAGAGTTCATATTTAGGAAACCCCTTCTTACCAGAGAAGCTGGAATTGGGGTTTGGTTTAGCTTTGGGGAGGTGGGGAAAGCATTGGTTTCATGATGCACTTGCTTGACGGCTAGGAGCTAACCCTTGACTGTGATCCTTTCCTTCCCCTGGTGAGAAGGTACAGACATGTTGCTCTTACATCTGCTTTCCTGTCCATTAAGGGGTGAGTGTGACTACAGATACTGCAGATACTGAAAGCTAACCATCTGAGCGCTGACATTCAAGTTAGTGCTAATGTGTCACATAAAATAGATGCCACATTGATGCCTTTTTTTCTAAAGGCACATTTTGAAAATTGTGAGTCTTACAGTGACTTGCCCTAGGTGAGGCCATAAATAGTGACAGAGGAGCCTCCTTGGTGGTGCAAGGGATTAAAGTGCAGCACTATGAAGCTCCCCAAGGCCACTGCAGCACAAGTTTGATCCCTGGCCAGGGAGGTGACCCACATGGCACAGCAGTGTCCTGCCCGCTGCTCCCCTCAGCAGATTAGATAACATGAAGGGGACCCTCCCTGGTGGTACAAGGGGTTAAAGCACAGCACTGTGAAGCGATCCACAGCCACTGCAGCATGAATTCAATCCCCCAACCGGGAGGTGACCCACATGATCAGGTGTTGCCCCACATGGTACAGCAGACTTCTCCCATCTCACCCGCTGCTCCCCTCAGCAGTGTACTTCCTTGATCTGCCTATTCTGCGCCCCACTCTGTCTCTGGTGAATCCTCTCAGCCCCTGCACTTCTGGCCGGTACCCTAGTTCTTGTATGCATAAATAAATGAATCTTTACAAAAGAAAACAAATGAAGGGATTCAGAGAAGGTTTCTAAACAGGGCTTCTCAAGCTTTTTATGGGCACACACATCACCCATATTCTGGCACAGCAAGTCTAGTACAGCGACTCTGGGTGGGGCAGTCTGGTCAGTAGGTGTGCTGGTAGGCAGAGGGCACTGCGAGCAGCAAAGAGTTATGAGGTGAGCCATGTTTTGACTTAAGGTAATGGTCCTTGGTTCTGATCTCCCATTAGGACTATCTGTGGGGCTTCTGACACCTCATACCAACTACAGCAGTCTCCAGGAATGAGGCCCAAGAATTCGCAATAATCAGTCAGGTTTGAAAAATCCTTATTTAAGGGAATAAAAGAGAACAGCCTGGTAAACAAAAATGAAGTTGAGGATCCAGAGAACGCTGAACAAGGCAGAATTGGGAAAGAGAAAGGAAGGTATGACTAGGATAAACCACAACCACAGGAGAGCAGCAAGTGTAAAGTGTGTAGCTAAGAGAACAGACCCCATCCAATGGTAGGAAATAGAAGGTGGCACATGACCATTCAACGAAAATCTCACTGAAGGCTTCTGTGAGCAGCAGCCCACTGTTTCTTTTTATGAGTCTGTGTTTGTGCTGGCTATTGAACCTACTGCCCTGTCTCAGCTTTTATATTTTAAAATTGAGGGTTTAAATTGTAAATTTAAACATTTTAAATTCATGTTGACAAGGTTTATTGAATTGCCACCACGTGTAAGGCTATGTCCAGGCAGGTGTCCTTGAGGTGCTCGCCATGTCTCTCTGACTGCAGGGCTGGAGCCTCCCCTTGCCCTTCATGACCTGCTTCCCCACTATGTGGCTTTGACTGTTTTTTCCTTTCTGACTCTCAACAGAGAGAGCTATTGCACACTGGAGGCTTCGGCAAGAACAGTCACTTCCCCTTGGTTCTGACTTCCCGTTAGAGCAAGACCGTTTTTCAAGACAGGCCTGCATGTGATAATCTAGTGTGAGGAGACTGGCCGAGGCTGCTTGGCAACTGAACACGCCCCTGAGAACGGGAAGCTTTTTTCTGGAGGACAGGATATAGTTTGTTTAGGTCGGACTTCTTTTTTTTCTTATGGGAGGTAAAAGAGAAGCAAGTAGAAACTTTGACCCAAGTTGTTTCTAGCCCCTAGGCCCTGCCCCCCTCTTCGTAATGTGCTGTGTATTCACAGTCATATGCTTGCCCATGTCCAAGCTTCAGTTTTCAGCTTCCTTGGTGCAAGGACCCCCCCCTTTGTTATTTTTCTTGTTCTCTATGACTTACCTGGTGGCTCAGCTGGGTCAGTGCAAAAGAGGAGGAGGCCCATGATTTTGGCAGGCTACTCATGATAGCCTTGCCCAGACAAATACATTTCTGAGGTGGTTTGCATATAAACCCTGGTAATAGGAAGCAACTGAGGTCTTCTTACCTTAATTCTCAGGGTATGATTGTGACTGGGGAAAAAGCAGCATATTGAGTTTTTTTTTTTTTTTAATTAATATAATAGTTTATTTTTACATCATTTTTTGCCTTATTCATCTCAGTTGTAATCCCC